GTAAGCACAACAGAAAATTATCTGTTCTTGTAAAACGTGACATTAAGATCGCAAATTCGAAGAGGTTTAAAAAGAGGTTAAAAGAGGAACTCCCGTTTACAAAATTCATATCATAAATAATACTGATGAAAAAGAATGGGTTGAATGTTAATCCCACATTTGTTACCATAACTATTAACTATGATTACGGAAAAACTATTCATCAGCATGCATTGATTAATCTCATGTTGTAGCAAAAAAAAATAAAAATAAAAAGTGTGATTAAATCATGTGCTGGGGCAACCAACTGAGAAAGTTTGTCGCACCAGCGCGACCAGTGGAAAGAATGAGTCTAGAGCCCTGTTTACTGTATTTTACCAAACATATGAAGCCTATTAAATCATTTAAAAACAATTTTAGTTACTATAGAAATTTCCAGAAATTTTCCACTATATTGAGATTATAGTGACTGATACTTCCAGGTTTTCCATGACCATGGGAAGTGGGAACCCTGTTTATATAATAACATACACCCCATACTTTTGGAATGACATCACATGTCTCAACAGAGAGCTTGCAGCAATCCATTTTTCCATATTTGGGCTATGGAAACCAACTACGTATGTCCTTACTTGATGTCCAAACAGGATCAATCATTCATATCACAGCCCAAATGTTCCACAACATTAGTTTAAAGAGGTTGCAAAGCATTACGCCATTCAAGAATCTCACTTTAGCGGGTAAACTGACACCAACATGTGTGATTATCGTCAGCTTGGCATGATTAGTCACATTATCGAGCCTTTAACATGGTAATTACATGTGAACATGTTAATTATTCATGACACATTAAAGCAATTTCAGCACTGCAACAAACGTTCCAGTAATGTTGATTCAACAAAACCTCAACATCCAACACACTACAGAAACAGGGTGTGGAATTCATATTAAATGCTCAAAAATGATCAGAGCAATTGTGACCCAGATTTTCCAGCGTTGCATGTGCAGGGATGTGGGATTGTGTAGGCTAGCAGCTGTTACTGTACATTCCCTGCAGCACCGCACTTCCTTATGATCTAATCCCAAGTGAAAGCGTGCATGCGAGTCTATGCTGCAAAGTGAGTCGGGGGCAGGTGGGTGCGGCATATTCACAGTATGGTGCTGCCCAGGGTTCCCCCCACCCCCCTGTTCTGAGCCCCTGATGGTGAATGGCGTGTGTGTATGTGAGCAAGGAGGGGCTACTATGGAGCTGGAGAATAAGGGTGTGTCCTCAGACATCCTACTATAAAAAGAAACAGTACAGTGCATGAGCTACATCTGTCCTGTCCTCACAACACAGCCCGAAGAAAAATTATTGGAGCATTTGTTCCTCGCCATGACTCATGGAGGCCTTCCTCAGGAATGAATGACCCACTTTTGAACCGTGCCATATTCCATGAGATCCAGATGGCACTCTTCTGGGTAGCATGAAGTACATGAAAACTTCAGATCTTTCTTGTGGAAACAACTTCCATTCAGTAAAACAGGATGGGATATTCAGTGCAATTTGAACTATTAGAGCAGAAAGAATAAGTGCAATAAACAGAATACATATATTCTACATTTAACATTTAATTTTAAATATATGTATTTAATTTTAAATTGAATAAATAATATTTAAATAATTTAAAATTATATATTGTTTTAGACAATAAATTTACATTTAAAATAATATTTACATTATATTAAATCAAATATTAATTGTGCCAATGGGGAAAATAAATGGAATGGAAAAACAGGAAGAATTGGTGCAATATATGTAATATACATCATTTCAAATATTATTTTAAATTGCATAAAGATATTTTAAATTATATACTGTATTACACAATTTATATAATTTAAAATATTTTAACATTTATTTATTATATTATATTATTTACATTTTTATGCTGAAATGTTCATTGCAGTAAAATTAAAGGAATGAAAAGAGAAATTATCTATCTATCTATCTATCTCTCTATATATATATATATATATATTATTTCTGAATTTTCACTACACAACACATTCAATATGTCTCAAGGCATCAAGAAATGCCAACGTGCGTTGGTTTTTCAACATTTATAAGGATATCACAACGGCTTCATAAGGGAAATATCAGATGTCTGGCGAGAGCTCGCGTTTAATCGTGTTTATTGCTGGTGGGCTCGAGCTGTTTATGGACATTGGACATAACTTACGACATCCACATTGATCGGCTAGATTATTAAATATCGTTCAATCGATAGTTAAACAATTACCAACCCACATTAGGAATGATATACGGGAAACACGAGACACAAACAAGACTGGGAGATTCTTTCCATACCACAAAATTACACGATTCCGAGCCAAGCAATATATCTCTGTGCTAGTCAGCGAGGAGTTTCTGAAAATATCTTACAAATGAATGCAAAATAGAGAGGCATAGTGCACTTACTTCCTTTGTTATATCCTTAAAAAGCGCTTTTCCTTCACTTGTGAACAATAAAGCCTGTTATACGGCAGGCAGATGCTTCGGTTGGTCCAGCCCGGTAAACCTTACGCTTGCAGCAGCATCCAGACTGTGAGAGCCGGCGCTGACCAATCACAGGAGAGATCCACAGCGATGGCCTCAGCAGCGGCCAATGGTATTGCAGTATGGGCGTGTCCTGTCGTCAGTGGTACGTACCATTTATACAGATTTATAGGGGATGGAACTGGATCATTATGTCAATGTGGCAACCGTGCTAACTAGACGATGAAGTACTATTTTTTTTAGCGTTTTTTATGTATGTTAATATAAAATGTACAAATATAAATTATTATGCATAACATAGATATACAAAGTATTATATATATTTAACTAAAATACCATAGATATTGTAAAAATATCATCATTAATCAAATATATTTCTTTTTATTATTACTAAATATATACACGAATAAACTAACACAATTATTTAAAAGTGTATATATAGTTGTGTCCATATACTTATGCTTATAATAAATATAATGTTTTTTTTAAATGTTGTCGTTTCCAGAATGTAACCATTATATATAATACAGATACACAAAGTATTACATATATGCAAAATACTAAATTATAAAAAAAAATCTACATTATTCAAATACATTTATTACATATTAATATTCATATATATACTTCCTAGCATATAATATACTCTATATAATATACCCTAGAATACAATATACCAATACTCATATTCACACACAAACACACACACACACACATGTATATATGCAGTCACGTGAAGTGTAAACATGACTTCAAGAGGTATTTTATGACCATGTACACATGCACATTTGTGCAATGCAGTGCATCACTAATGTCTTCTGATATGTAGATTGCATGGACGAGGCTGATGATGATGGTGATGATGATGTAGACTCATCCCATTTGGACCATATCGAGGGTGTCACACAAAGGGGCGACCAAGCCCTTACTCTACACAACACATTCAATATGTCTCAAGGCATCAAGAAATGCCAACGTGCGTTGGTTTTTCAACATTTATAAGGATATCACAACGGCTTCATAAGGGAAATATCAGATGTCTGGCGAGAGCTCGCGTTTAATCGTGTTTATTGCTGGTGGGCTCGAGCTGTTTATGGACATTGGACATAACTTACGACATCCACATTGATCGGCTAGATTATTAAATATCGTTCAATCGATAGTTAAACAATCAAATACTCATATACACACACAAACACACACACACACACACACACACACATATATATATATATATATATATATATATACATACATACACACACACACACAGGTGCATCTTCATTTTTTTTGTAACTTATTTCAAAAAGTGACACTTTCATATTTTCTAGATTCATTACATGTAAAGAAAAACATTTCAAACGTTTTTTTTATTTATTTTGATGATTAGAGCTTACAGCTCTCATGAATAAAGTATGTTCATTTATGCACTCAATACTTGGCCGGGGCTCCTTTAGCATAAATTCCAGCATCAGTGAGGTGTGGCATGGAAGCGATCAGCCTGTTGCACTGCTCAGGCACTGTTGAGCCTTCAGCTCGACCAGGAGGGAACAGTTAATGAAAAAGTCTGTGAAAGTGATTTTGTGCCTCTTTGAGATGGCACAATAATATGCCGTTCACTTGCAGAACGCAAGCTTCTAGAGGGCACATAACTCTGAAGTACTAAATTTAGGTAAAGGGGTGCAGAGTCATGAAGAATGTGGCAAAGTCGTCAGCTGTTAAGAGTTGATGAAGGAGGGGGAGGAGGAGGACAAAGGAGGGAGGAAAATGTTTTAAAGAGCATGCGAGAGTTAGGCGAATTGTTAAATATTAATATTAAAGGATGTGTAATAGTAATATTAATATTACGCATCCTTTCCAGAATATTATATTGAAACATTCGATACAAATAATACATTTTTAGAAGTTAAATGTTATTTAACTAATAATGATATACAATTAATAATTTACTTAATAATCACATATAATTTTATGGTAAATACTTGCAAAGAAAACACAACTTTTTCACAAAAAACAATACATTTATTCAAGTGTTCTCCAGCACAAGTACATAAGGAGCCTTTTTTTCTTCGTTCTGGGCACATAACGAAAGAAAGGGGGAGAGGTGGTGAATGATTGCTACATTTGCTGTATGAGCTGATTGCAAAAGAAGAGAAGGCTTGAAAAAAGTTTATATGACACAACAGAGGTCACAAATATCAACAGTGTCACCGAGATATACAGAGATCCTGTTAGGAGAGCAAACAAGAGGCTGTTACAGCCAAATATTTATATATATATATATATATATATATATATATACCCAAATAAAGCAAATGAAATTTAACAAAACAGAAATCTAAAAAAAAAAAAAATGAAACAAAAGAAGATGGAGGGCTGGATATATGGCATGGAATGTAGGACTTAGAAGCAATTCTGCCTGGATATTAAGCAAGTACATGTTAACAGCAAAACTACATTTTTTTGTTGTTGTTTTTTTTCAATTTCCCATTATGAGTACATGATTTCCCACAGATAAGCACCAACTACAGCAATGTCTATTCTAAAACAATATAAGAATCTTTCATCATTTATCATTATTTTTTTCAAGTACAAAGTTAAAATGCCTTTGTTAATATCTTTATATGAGAGAGTAAAATAATAGTGCTTCTCCAATACTACAAGAAACAATCGAGAGAAAAAAAAAAAACAGTCATTATCAAGACAGGTTTATTTATTTTCCAAATAATATATTTTTCTCAATTAGATAAAATGTTTAGCACCTTATGAAACACCTACAATCCCTCTCTTAGTACTTAAAACAAGAATTAAAAAGCAAATCGAAACACACTTTTGTATGTAGGGCTGTGCAGTAAAGATGGGACTGTTAAAATCACTTAGCGAACTCATTCTTTAGTTTGATCCTCCGTTCGACACATATAAATATGAATTACAAAAGACACCCTGCTGCTTTATAGCTTATGTCAATTAGCCTGTTGCCATTTTGTCAATTACCCCCCTCTTGCGATTTGAGTGCTGTTTTGATTCTATGATATATATTAGCAAAGAATTATATTTGTACATCTCACAGGTCATTAAAAAAAGCAACAGACAATTTCTATGTACAAAATGTACAAAAAGAAACAAATCTGGGCGTTGATAAAATTGGGAACATAATAAAAGCAACTTTGCTGAACGTGACAAATGTTAAGGTATGTAAGCAGTGCAATGCCTTAAATTTAAAAAAAGCGCCTAACAAGGATTTCATTAGAGCCCGACCGTTTCTAACCAGATTCACAAATTTAGCCTATATAGCTTGCGTGATAACTAAATTATTGACATGGTCAACATTCACCATTGGCAAACATAATAATGTTTTCAGATCTACGCTAGGGACCAGACGTATTTAACCCCATCCAACTACTTTTCCTACAGGGATACTTAACACACTCACTTTGGGATTATACAGCGGTAAAAACCGTGAGCAGACACTATACTGTATCTCATGTAGCACATGGAAACATGAGAGGGGTGCTACTGGAATTCGGCCCCTTCACCACCGGCACGACAGATGGATTTATTCTATCCTAGCTCATTCGTTCACATCTATTGGCACAGCCCTACTGTACACAACAAAGTATTACCTTATATAACGGCAAGAGTTTCACATCATTAAACATAACTGAAAAAAAAGAACAATTCACAAGAATCAAGGAGAAAGATTTAAAAAAATATCAAAGAAATAAAGAAGTATACATATACAAAAGTGCTCGATATTGTTGGTAACACAGCACAAAAAAATTGCTATTAAAAGGTAGAAGAACATTGTGAAGCCGCACCTTTATAGTTTTGCACCTGACTGAGAATAGCCTGCGGACGCCGCAGTTGAAGGCTGATTCACCTGGCCGGCAAAATGACAAAACGACCGACGCCATCCTTCCTGCGGCCGCCACGCGCGCTAAGAGTTGTACAGTAATGATTCTGGCCTGTGTGACACTAGAAAAAAAGTAGCTCACCACAGCCTTTGATTTCAAAGTATGGATGACAAAAACATCACCGCCCATGTGGCTGGTTTCATGCATTCGGATTGCAGGCATACTGAAGAAAGCAGGCGTGTGTTTTTTCTTTTTTTGAAAAGAGCACCAGAGAATATTGTACAAAAAGGCTGTAAAAGATATAAAATGAGATGTGGCAGACCTTTTTTTTTTTTTTAAGGTTTCAGTCGTTCGTTTTCCCTGACGATGGTACAAAACGTGACCCCATGATCTTGTTTCGAGTAGTAGCACCACATGAGTTGCAATGTTTTTCACCACCTTCAAGCACCATATTGTCACCTATTACAGTAGTACCTTTATTACCTTCAGTTGTGTATAGAAACTGTAAACAAAGAGGTATTTGTGATCTGGTGTTTTGGATTGGTTAAGACAGAGCTCCCCTGACACTAAGAGAAAACTTTTTTTTCAAGGCTCAGACGCGCACCGCGAGAATTAGATCGATCCGCGACCCGACAGTCGAAAAACTCAGGAGGCGAACTGAATGCGATTTCCGTCTCAACTAATTTCTCGTTTCTGCCTCGAATTGTTACATCGTCTCTCAGTGCCTTAAAAGGAGGCCATGTCTCAAGTATAGCTTGCACACATAAATCAAATACTGGATAACACTGCTAAAAAGTAAAATGAATAATACAAAAAATTAAATAGAATTAAAAAAAAAGAGTCAATTATTCCAAACCAGAAGAAAAAAACCGAAACAAAACATAAAATAACTTTTTTTTTTCTGATGTCGAACTTGCAAATAACATACGAGAGCTTGCTTTCGAAGCTCTTGGTATTACATCGGTTTAGATTTTTCTCATCTGTACTGGATTTGAGTTCAGATGCAGGCGAAGTACTCTTTGAGTGGTGCAAACAAGTGACGGATGACCGGGACGCTCCACGACCTTCCCAGCAGCCTCTGCCTGGCCAGACGACTCATGTTCGACACGTCTGTGTAATGGACAGGGAAGCCGAACACCCTGATAAGAAGTGAAAAGGGCAGAAAGTTCGTTTAAATGTATTCACAAGTGCAACACTCTTGTGATGTGAATAGACAGATGATGAATACTCTAGAACAGTTTATTGCTATTTTTGTTTTAAAGATAGAGAATATACAGGACACAATAAAGGACATTAAATTGATCAAATATGATAGTAAGTTTTTTTGCAAAAAATCTATTTCAAATAAATGCTGTTCTTTTACACAAACAAACACTGTATAATATAATACAAGGAATGGTTTTAGCATATTAGAATAGATCAGGTGACAGGATGCTGAAAATTCAGCTTTGCCATCACAGCAATAAATTATATTTTAAAGTATATTCAAATAGGAAACAGTTACTTTAAATTGTAATAATATTACAGTTTTAAACGTTGCTGGTTATGTGTGGCTTTAAAAGAAAATTCTTTCTGTTAGAAAAATTTGGAAAAGTCGCTATATAAACATCTGTGTTAATTTAGCATCATTGGGATATTATTATATTCTTTATTAATATTTGAATTAGTTTTTATTTTTATATTTTGTTTTCATTTTCATTAAAGTTTGGGTAATTTTGTTGTGTGTTTTTGTCATTTTTATTACTATTATTATTTATTTTTTTTAATTTTAACAAAAAAAAAAAGTTTTTTTTTTTTTCAGTTTTAGTTTGTTATTTTAGTACATTAAGTTCAACTAAATGAAGCAACAATGTGTTGACTTTCTTTTCTGTCTTAACTGTCCACTTGTGTTTGAATCTCCAAAAAGCCAGGTTAAAATATACCAAAACAGGAAGAAAACTGTGTTTGTCAAGCCATTTCATGGTGTATATCTATGTTTATATCAATGTATGGATTACATAAGACATGTCTCATTGTATTGATATGTAGTCATATTCTGTTCTACTGAGTAGGATATGGTTTCAGTGAGCTAGTAGACGACAGATGATTCAATCAATATAAGATAAAACTCACTGTTCACTGAAGCGGGCCCTCGAGATCTCTCTGTTGAACAAATGTCACATTTACATTTACATTTGGACTTACAGCTTAGAACTTTTTAAAGGCATTTCGTCATACCTCTCCATCTCAGTGCACCACAGGATGTCCTCTTTTTCATTCATGAAGACAGGGAAGTGCTGGTCTTTGCCCTGCTTTATGGAATTTGACCGAGTGGTGATGGTCCGCACTTTATCAAACTATAAAAAATGTGTAAAGAAACTGATTTAAACTGCTTCATCCAGAAATCAATCGAGGGTTGGTCTAAGAAGTACCTTAGCTGTCCTGCCATGCTCCAAACAGTCTTGAAGGTCCAGTTTATCAGTGCACATGGCGGTCAACGGTCTGAGAAGAAAAGGAAATAGAGAAGTAAAATGATAAAGTGAGAGATTAAATAATGAAATGAATGAAGAGTCCATGTCCAACTAACCTGTTCATGCCAGGCAGGTTACCCCAAAAGTAGCGAGCTCTGTGGGCAGCAGACACCTCCTTGGCATCGATCATCACTGGGTTGCACTATGATACATAAACAAATAAATGTCAAAATAAATAAATTAGTGCCGTCAAACGATTAATCGCATTCAAAATGATAGTTTTTGTTTACATAATATATGTGTGTGTACTGTGTCTATTTATTATGTATATATTAATACACACTCATACAGTATATATTTTGAATATATTTACACATGTATTTACATGTACATATTTATATAATTTATATTATAAATAAATATATATTTTAAATTCGAATATAATTCGAATTTTGATAATATTTAAGTACAAAATTCGAATTTAGTTTTTCAGCCATTTTGACAGCCCTAGTACACACACATATATTACGTAAACAAAAACTTTTACTTTGGATGCGATTAATCATGATTAATCGTTTGACAGCACTAAAATAAATAGATAATAAAATATATCCAAAACCTTAGTAATATTGACTCTAGCAAGCATATAATGGGTTCATTCGTTTCTACACAGCAGGTCATTTTACCACTAGGTGGCAGCAAAACCTACTGGTTTATATTAAAGCCCCACTGACAGTATAAGACAAATTCAGCACAGCTTAATCATCATGTTCAAACACCTCTAAAAAGCGAGAGATGTCCCTCTTGTCGCTGACACCCATGGCCACCACATTCTCAAAGAGCCAGAAGAATGGCCTGTTATCTCGCTCTTTAGGTCGGGCCTCATGTAACAGCCGGTAAAACTCGAAGAAGAGTCGACCCGTGCCCTCTGAAAGACAAAAAGCAAGATTGAAAAACATTACGAAAACTCAATATGACAATTATCATAAAAATGTACAAATATACGAGCTGTGTTATAAATACAACTGAGATATACAGTACGCTACCATTCAAAAGTTTGTGGGCGGTAATATTTTTGAAAAAAGTCTCACCAAAGGATGCATTTATTTGATAATACTGTAAAATGTAATTACTTAAAGTATTATTATTATTATTTAGAGAAACTGTTTTCTATTTTAATATACTTTAAAATGTAATTTATTCCTGTAATGGCAAAACTGAATTTTCAGCAGACATTACTTCAGCGTCAGATTCTAATACGCTGATTTGGTGCTCAAGAAACATTTCTTAATCTTATTATTATCAATGTTGAAAACAGTTGTGATGCTTAATATTTTTGTGGAAACCATGATACATTTTTTCCAGGATACTTTGACGAATAAAATGTTTAAAAGAACAGCATTTTTGAATTAGAAATATTTTGTAGTCTTATGGACACCAATCTTTTAAATGGTATTTGAAAGTGTAAACACTAATACTAAAGACTAAGGCTAGAACACACAGCTGAATAAACTCCTACCGTAGAGACCTTTTCTTGCAGGATTCACTATTGACAAGTCATTGCACGGACTTCCACCGATGACGAGATCGAAAGGACCCCATTCCTGAATCTGTGGATGATACAGAAGAACAAATTAGACAAAGGAAAAAAAAAACAATAAATAGATTGATCAATATGAAATATTGTGGACGTAATCAAGCAGGAACCTATATCGTACAAAGACAAAAAAATACCATTCATTCAAATGGGTACGGTGACAGTTTTACCCTGAAGATTTATGATACCACTACTCTCAAAAGTTATAGTTAATGGTCAAAAGTTATGAAGATTTTAGTTTTTGTGCAGTATATAAGAGCTGTACTTAAAGAAATTGCCAAGTTACCAAGATGGTCACCAAATGTAGACTTGATTTCAAATAACTTCAACAGTAAACTGAGGTGAAGGATGATACTCACGTTTTTATGGGTGACGTTTCTCACATCACCCACGTACATGATGTGTCCCTGGTGCCGAACGATGCCCACAGTGATGGAGTCCTCGCACACTTCTGAGGCCACGTAACGCTCCACCTGGATACCCAGCTCCTTCAGAACCAGCAGCCCTGGCATAATCACAAACACCATGACAATCTACAACTAAGTTGTTTATTTTATTTTTGCTAATTATTGGACTGTTTTATTGAAGTACGCAAGTACTAGTGATTAGTCACATGGCATTTACAGCCTTGGCTCAAAACAACCCGCTGCAGAACCGAGCACCATTAACAAAGATGGCGGATTTCATATCACATTCTTCGAGGTGGTCGTATGCCAGCCAAAAAAAAACGGGAATGCTAACAGATACTTTTCTTCAATTATTATAGATGTCCTTGCTTCAAACACACAAATGATGCCCAAAAATCCTGTTGAAATTGGAAGTTTGCTAAGGTTTAGTTCATTCCTGAATTAAGATTTCCTGATAATTTACTCACCCCCATGTCACGCACACTTCTGAGGCCACGTAACGCTCCACCTGGATACCCAGCTCCTTCAGAACCAGCAGCCCTGGCATAATCACAAACACCATGACAATCTACAACTAAGTTGTTTATTTTATTTTTGCTAATTATTGGACTGTTTTATTGAAGTACGCAAGTACTAGTGATTAGTCACATGGCATTTACAGCCTTGGCTCAAAACAACCCGCTGCAGAACCGAGCACCATTAACAAAGATGGCGGATTTCATATCACATTCTTCGAGGTGGTCGTATGCCAGCCAAAAAAAAACGGGAATGCTAACAGATACTTTTCTTCAATTATTATAGATGTCCTTGCTTCAAACACACAAATGATGCCCAAAAATCCTGTTGAAATTGGAAGTTTGCTAAGGTTTAGTTCATTCCTGAATTAAGATTTCCTGATAATTTACTCACCCCCATGTCATCGAAGATGTTCATGTCTTTCTTTCTTCAGTCGAAAAGAAATTAAAGTTTTTAAGGAAAACATTCCAGGATTTTCTCCATATAGTGGACTTCAATGGGAGCTAGTGGGTTGAAGGTCCACGCTTCAAAGGGCTCTACACGATCCTAGCCGAGGAATAAGGGTCTTATATAGCGAAATGATTGGTCATTTTCTAAAAAGAAACACAAATGTATATACTTTTTAACCACAAATGCTCATCTTGCACTAGCTCTGCGATGCGCGTCTACGGCTTCACACATGACGTAGTCGAGTTGGAAAAGTCACATGTCGTTAGTTCTTCGTCTGTGTACTCTGGTTCAAAAAGGTAGGGTAGGGCGAAAAAATCCATCTCATTTTCTCCTCCAACTTCAAAATCATCCGACATCTTTTTTTTAACCTTTTTTTGTTTGACTTTACACGTTCGCTTTGTAAACACTGGGTCGGTACTTATGCTTATGACACGCGTGACCTTTCCAACGTGATTATGAAATGCGAGAAGTAGAGCTAGTGCAAGATAGGGTTGTGACGGTGAGGAAATTTTCCCACCGGTTAATCGACGTGTGACAACACCAGTAATGCCGGCATAACCGCGGGGGCGTTCCCTCTTTTCCTTGCTTTCCTTCGCTTTTAAATAGCTTGTAAAAGTGGCATGAGCATTTTACTTTCACTTTCAAATAGCGGCAATTCGGAGTAAAGCAATTGTTCGTTTGAATTTTCCCTCTTTTCCTCGCTTTCCTTCGCTTTTAAATAGCTTAAAAGCGCCTTGCGCATTTTACAATTGCATTAAATGGACACGAACAATTGTTTGAATGCAACAACAAAATACAACGTCAAACTCACTTTAGCTTATATATAAAACATAGAACTTTTATTAACAAAACGAATAAAAATACACCATGCTATAGGGAAGGCTATGCCTAATATAAAATAACTTATATAAAGTTTAAATAGGTATACAAAACTGGAAATAAGTAAACATGTATAATATATAACCAAATAAATAAGAATGA